GATGCCGTCCCACTCCATCTTTCCTTAATGCCCATGTCTTCGTGAGGCCATTGTCAACGTCACCCTGATGGGATGTGACCCCCTGACCTTGCAGCCCTTGCTTTATACCTGTTTGTGTGCTCTGCCTCACTCTGGGTAGTTCCCAAACTGTCCCCCATCTCCTGTCCCCCGTGTGCTGTCCTCTTGACCGAGCCCCAGTCCTCTTTGAACTTAGGGCTGGGCCAGACTGGGAAAGGTTGGGTGCTCATTAGAAGGCCCGAGGCAGCGAAGCTGGGTCCCGGGAGCACCTAGGGCCGGGATGCCGTGTTTGCTGATGGCTTCTGCCTGCTCCCCTGCTGGCCAGAGGTGAAGGGGTCAGGGGCGAGTGGTGAGTCTGTGAGCACGGTGTCATGCCCCCAGCTCAGTCCAGCCCAACAACTCTTGGTTTCCTGAGCACCTGGTGCTGGAGGGGTCCCGGATGGGCAGGACACGGGTGAGGAGGACAGCAGAGCCTGCCTTCCCGGCCACCTTGTCTTCCCGGGCACCTTGTCTGGTGGAGGAGATGGGTCTGTCCAGAGATCCCAGCAGGAGCACATGCAGAGGGCGTGGGGAGGGGCAGGGGCTGCCTTTGGGGCAGTGGTGAAGGTGTCAGAGTGAATGGGAGGCCTGTGCGGGGCTCTCAGCGTGGATGAGGAGCTGGCCAGGTGGGCCAGGTGTGTGTGGGTGGGGGCGGGGGGTTGCACAGTGGTGGGAGCAGGGAAGGCAGCCCTGGAGGGAGAAGAGACAAGTTCTGAAAAGAAGGTCTGTCCCCCACTCCACCCTCACCCTGGGCGGGAGCGTTGGAAAATTATTCCCAGCCCAGCAGAGCTCAGGGCTGGGTTGGGAGAAACGCACTCGTCATAGTGCCGTGAGAGACCCAGTTCAGATTCTCAGTACGGCTCAAGTTTTCCCCAGAGGCCAATGTTTTCCTCAGTCTTCAGTTCTTAAACTCTCAGGAGAGGCAGTCCTGATCTATGTGCTTTATAGAGGTGACAGCGGCCCTGCTTACCTTGTCATCACGTCACTCCTGAAGCCACACCTGCCTGGCCCTGGGGCGCGGGGACAGCGACACGTCACTGTCACTCCCGGCGCCAGCACGGTGCTTGGCTCACTGCTGAAGGAATGAAACTCACTTTTTACAGACGTATTTTAAGGGGCACATTCATTTTGCTAAGTGAGACACACGTTTATAAATGTGAAACAAGAGCTCTCTGAATTTTGACAGCTTGGAGACGATGACCACCGCTGTGTACGGAAACCGGAAAATCTGCAAAGGTTCTTCATTTCACATTAAAATTGTGCCGCTCGCACATAAGTGCTACGGGTCTGGTATCTTCACGAACATCTAAATTTTAGTTTAAATATGTCTACTGTTCTTTCTGGGACGAGGCAGGGTGATAAGCGTGTGAGCGACCGAGGAGTGCTTTAGGGTGGAGTTCTAAGCCGTATAATGGTAAGATGCGAGTGCGGGAAGAAATCTCATCCTCTAGTTTTGACGTCTGGATCTAAATTCCTTTTCCTGTAAAACTGAAATAACATCACCTACCTTAGCGGTGGCTGTAAAGTTAAAGGAGGTGAGGCTGTTAAGACACGTGCCGTGTCCAGGACGAGATGCTGTGATGTTGAGGGTGCTACAGGCAAGGAAGCTGAGGCCAGCAGCGGGGACTCCCAGTGTCACCCAGGAGCACACGCAAACTGCTGCTGCCCTCGTGGCCCACCCGCTGCACAGGAACACTGCGATGCCACCATCGTCGCAGGCGACTGTGATGGGAGGCCTCTCCCGCCACCAGCATGGCTCCTCCTGCCACTCTGGAGTCTTCCTCCCCCAAACCAGATTCCTGTCTTCCTGCTTGAGGTGTCCTTGGCTTGGTAGCGTCACCCTGCTGGATTTGTGCCCTGGCCTCGGAGGCTGTGAGTCGGCCTGGGGGCCCTTGGCTGAGCCTCCCACCGCTCTACCCCCAGGCTAGGGACCGCCGAGCTCCTTCCAGCTCTTGCAGCCTTGACTTCATTAGAGAGGGGCCATGGGGTGGAACAGAGCAACAGCACCCCCAGAGCCCTGCTTTTCAGCTGAGGCAAGTTGAGGGACTTGGGGGGAGCCCTAAGAAACCCAAGGCCTGATGCTCCCGGGAGAACTGTCCAGGAACAGAGGAGCTCACCGGGAGGCCGGGAGGGAGTTCCCTGGCAGCGTGGGCCCTGTGGCCAGGTCGGGAAGGGCCCGAAGCCTCTGTGACCAGGGGATGCCCAGGGACAGGAGATCGCACGACTCTCTGGCCACCCAGGAACCGACTGGCCTCTCCTTTCCTCTGGCCTTCTTCCCCAGCCTCCATGGGCCAGGTCGTCTCCAGTTCCTGCTTTGGCCCTTGGAAATGGGGTGAGCAAAGACCAGACAGCATCAGGGCGGGGGGAGCCTTGGGGCGAGTCAGTGCACCCTCAGCTCCTGGAGGCTGACACCGGAGCTCAGAGAGGTCATTTGCTTGGAGGGCCAGCCAGCTAGCAAGGAGCAGTGTCAGAGTCCAGGGTGCCTCCTGCATTTATTTTCCCTACTGTATGCCTATGAGTGGGGTGAAAACTTGGATTTTATTTTAAATACGTACAGGTCAGTGAGAGAAGTACTGTGCTGCATAGAAGGTCACCAGGCCTGAGCCAGACCTGGCACCTTATCACTTTCTTTGGGTTAGCATCTTTGGTGGCCATGGCGTGGAGCTTTCCCGTGGCAGTTGTTCTCTGACGGCCTGCACAGCGGTCTGATTTCGTTAGGTGGACACCCGAGGGGATTGATGGCAACTCCCGACACAAGCTGAGTGCTGTACACTGTTACGGAGCCTGTCCCATCTGTCCCCAGGAGAAGGCCAGGCAGGGCCTGTCACTGGGTGGCAGGAGGACCCCAGAGCGCAGAGCCCAGGCGACGGCCCAGGCTGGTTGTGGCTCCAGGGCAGCCTGCCTTGGGGGGGCCCTCAGTTCACAGTCCCTGACACCAGCAGGGGCAGGGTCCAGGTGTTTGGTTCCCGGCTGGCCTCCACCTCCACACGCAGCTTCCCCCTTGGCCTGCAGGACCCAGAGCCCCATGAGCCCAGAAGCCATCGACCCTGGGGGCTGCTGTGTTGCTCGGTGAGGAAGCGTCGGGTGCCAGCCTGACCTGTCACCCAGACTTCCCAGTTTCTGGCATCGTGAGCTTGGGGATGGCAGATTTCCAAGACCACATGGCCCCACAGGAGGGTGGCCTCTGGGCAGGTTCCTGGACCCCAGACTAGATTAGCCTTGAGACCCCGTGTGGTCTGCGTGACTGGCTTTGACTCACTGAACACCAGTCGGCAGCTTTGCTGACGATCACTGTTCACTGAGTGGCCTGAGGCCATACGCACTGTGAGACCCAGACAGGTGGGCCCTCCTGCCCCAGCGGAAGGTCAAGGATGCTCCAGAGGGCTTGCCCCACAGATGGCATAGGCAACTAGGGCTGCCTGGGCCCAAGAGGACAAGTCGTTAGATGTGAAACCGGCCACCAAAGCCTGGGAGCCTGCAGCTGGGGACATGCCGACCAGCACTGAGACACACCCGACCTCCCAGTTGCTCACTGTGCAGCGGCCTGTGCCCTGGGGACCACGTGCAGAGGCTGTGGGAACACTCTGCTGGGTGTGGTGGTGGCAGGTCCCCAGGGTGAGTATCGATTGGCTCTGAAGCAACAGAAAAGCAGTTCAGAGGGGATGTGGCATAACCAAGAGAACCCAGAAAATTCACATCAGAAGTAACTCCCTTGTCTAGTAAACCATCTCGTGTAAAAATCTAAAATTGTCTTCCCTGTGTTTTCACCTGCCCCAGAGCCCATTATATTCCGCTGGGCTAACCTTTCCCCCGACGAGGGCCAGAAATGAAGAAATTCTTCCGCTTCCCTTCCCGTTCCACTTCCCAACTCCAAACCCGTGTCTGAGGAACCACACCTCGCCAGTCTGCCCTCCTTTGGGAAGCAAGGCTGGGAGTGTGGTGGGAACGTGAGCCTGGCCTCAGGGCAGGATGTGGAGCTGGGGGGGCGGGGTGCGAGGAGAGGCCGGACCAGGAAGCAGCCTTGCTTGGGGAAGGCTCACGAGATCAGTGGTCTTGGAGAAGTGGAAGGAATTAGCACCTGGTGTAGCCTGGATGGGGCAGTCAGGGCCAGGAGCCCTGGACGTCGGGCGTGGTTTGGGTGTTCGGATCCATGTCCGAGGTTACCTCTGCAGGAGGCTATTGGGTCTGCAGTCCCAGCTGCCTGTGGGAGTGGGCTGGGGACCAGGACACCTCAGGGAGTAGTCTGTAGGGTGCCAGGGATGGGAAATAGTCTCTCGATGCCCAGGAAGCCCTCTGAGCCAGTGCACTGTGCTTTCAGGCAGTGAGGGACACACCAGGTCCCATGACTCCCACCTTGCAGCTTGAGACCTGAGCATTGATACTAGTCTCCCTCACCTGCTGGCAGGTGGGGTTGGCTGAGAGGAAGTGTATGAATCCCAGAAAATTATAAACCTGTGACACACGTGTAAGGTAGCATTGTGACTACTGATTCAACTCAGGACCTCTTCAGGTCTCCTGTTACATCCCAAATGATCTGCAAATTTTAGGATTATACATTCCTGGCTGGTGGGACCTGGGGTTTGTACACCCACCTCCCCAGATATCAGCACAGCGCCTGAGAGCAACTAGTGGCGCGTGCTTGGTAAGTGCTGGTTGAATAAATGGGTGAAGGAATGAATGGGCAGCTGCGGGCCTGGGAATGGGGGCCCCTCGGCCAGCCTTGTGGGTCCCCCTGAGCCTTTCAAGCCTCAAGCCACACCCTTGGGTGGGCCTCACCCATTCATGGTAGGTGGGGCAGGGTCTGCGCCAAGGACCTGATGCCCGATCAAGGTCCATCAGGTGACTTCAGATTTGATTTTGGTCACCACCCACCCCACCATCTCCATCCCCTTTCCTGAAGACATGCTTTCACCATTGTCCTTTCTCTCCTTTTTGGGGTGCAGATCCTGGCCAACATCTTCCTCTACCTGTGCGCCATCATCGTGGGCATCATGTCCTATTACATGGCCGACCGCAAGCACCGAAAGGCCTTCCTGGAGGCCCGCCAGTCGCTGGAGGTGAAGATGAACCTGGAGGAGCAGAGCCAGCAGCAGGTGAGGCTGGGCCTCCGGGGGCTCTCAGGGAGGCCTCGGGTCTGGAGCTCGGGTTCGGGGACTGTGGCCTGGGAGGAAAGGCCTGTCAGAAGGGAGACGAACCAGCGCAAGGCACCCAGGGCTCTGTGGCGCTTGTAGTTCATGTGCCAGGGTCAGGTGTTTGCTTCCCGTCGTGGCCTTTTTGGTTCCTCCCCGTCAGAGGGCTGCTTCTGGACTTCGGGGGAGCTTCTCACTCCTGAATCTCCTTTTATTTGACCTAAACCTCTCTTCCTGACCCTCGCACCCCACAACCTGGTTTTCTTTTCTGTAATGTAAAACTTTTCATTTTAAAGAAATGCACTGCCCAAGCAGCCAGCTGTGACTCCCTGCCCTCCTTTCTCGGGTGACCTTCTCAGGATTGGGGCAGAGGTGTCACAGGCACCGCTTCACATCATGCCTTCTCCGCGTCCCCCGCCACTCTTGCCCCCACAGCCGCAGATTTGCACCGTGCACCTACTGTGCGCTTCGCAAGAGCATCTCGGCCCATCCGTCAGCATCACGCCTCCACCCAGGGAGCGAGTCCCCACTACTTCCTGTTCTAAGTCACCCACGCAGAAGCAGCGCCAGCCCAGTCCCCAGGGACCCACTGTTTACATTTTCCATCCGGGGAAGGGCCTGGCCATGCCTGTCTTTGTTTATTAACTCCAGCCTAATCCACGACAGAGCCATCCTCCCTGTTCTCACGTGACGCAGCCTTTTAAGTAGTTTTTGGTCTGGATTCATCGCAAATGCTTTTCAAAGGTCTCCATAACTTACATCCACCAATTTCCTATTACCCCATAGGTTGATTTCCATTTCAAAAACAAATTGCATAGGTTGAAACTGTGATTCTCCACTCTGGGAACCATGTCACTTTGTGTTCAGGAGGCTCCGTGTGCTCCGGAGTCACTGAAATGGCTGTTTTCATAGGCGCTGCCGCTCAGGTGAACAAAGCCTGAGTTTTGGGGCCACTCTGGAGCCCTCGGCCCTCAAGGGGCCCCGTTGTTGGGCCTCCCCCATGTTCTGCAGACGATGCTATTTCAAGGCACACACTGGGTCATTTAGCTGGTGGGTCTCTCTGTCCTGGGGATGTTTTTTCTCTTCCTGTTTACCAGTGAGATCCAGCAGCCTCTGAGCTGGGCTTCAGTCTCTGTTCTTTCAGACAGCAGGGTTAGGAGGGGAATTTCTCTGGCCTCTGATGTGACAGATGTCCAGGCTTAGCGGCCCATAATATCCACCCCTTCACCTTGGCCCCACACCCTGTTGTCACTGAGGAGGTGCTGGGCCTGAATGTGTTTAAAGAATCCCCCGTCCTGGCTTTGTGAGGCCCCTGGCGGCACTCTTCACCTTGTTTTCTGTACTGTCTCTCTCCTTTGCATCTGATCTCTCAAGCTTCAGTGGCAAACCGCTGGGATCTCTACACTTGGAAAAAAACAAACAAACAAACAAAAAAAAACACATCACCACCTCGCTAGGCCAGGGAGTTCTTTTCTACATAGCATTTGTGCAGTCGGCAGCGTACCTGTCTGCGTCGATCTCATCTGTCTCATGCTGTGTAATCCAGGACATCTTAAGTCACGCTCAGCAGGGCTTGCTGGGGGGCCTCTTGGCGTGGTGAGGAAGGCCCTGTGTCTCACCCAGGGGCTGTTACTCTCTGCGTAGATAATTTAGATGAGTTCTCCACCCCTGAGAGCCTCACTTTCTTCATCTGCAGAATGGAGCTATTGACATTTGTCCTGCGCAGGGTTTCTTGAGGGGCAGATGAGAGACACAGACTGAAGTGTGTTGTAACCTGGGGAGCTTGCAAATGGCTGCAGTGCACGAGGCCCACTTTCTAGTGCCCAGGGCCACATGCTCCCTCTGGGCAGGGTCGGTGCAGGGAGCCTAGGGGCTGCCAGAGACGGCCATCCCCGCGTGCCCCAGAACCCAGACACTGTGGAACAGCCTGCCCCGGCTGGAGCAGACTCGCCCTGGAGGGAGAGGTCCGGGTTAGGTGGAAGGCAGGGGCGGGGGTGGGGGGTAACGTACAGCCTCAGGCCTGGCCGGGCACACGGCAGGGGCCTGTAAATGACCATCAAGTGGAATGAATCTGTCTAGCCAGGCTCTGTCCTGAGTGTGACTTTGGGCTAGTTCCTGTTCTCTTTGGACCGCCGTTTCCCTATATGTAAAACCTTCTTTGAGAGATTGTTTTAAAGATAAAAAGGGATCTGTGCAAGTCCCGTTGGTATTGCTAAAGCATGGTCACCATCAGGAGGGGTGGAATTCTGCCACCTGCGAGTGTCCATTTGCTCATATTTTCCTTAGGACTTTTGTCGCTGTTGGTGAGAGACATCCGCCTGCTGTTGTACTTTCTTTCTGTGTCCTTGACAGGTTCTGGCATCATGGTTATGCCAGACTCGTTAAATAATTTGGGAAGTGTTCCCTCCTAATCTCTGGAAGAGTTTGAGGATGACTTGGGGAACTCCTTAAATATTTAGAATTCACTAGTGACGTCCTGTGTGCCTGGAGTGTT